TAATAATAATAATAATAATAATAATCATCATCATCATAATAGTTGCGTTTATGTATATAATATTAGTTTGGTTTCTCATCAATATGCAATGCAATAAATATACATAAGTATGTATATATGTAAGTATGCATGTGTGTGTGTTAATGTATATGTCTGTATATAAGTCCGCGTGTGTGTGTTTGTGTATATATATCTTGTTATTAATACCCGTTCACAATCTGAAAAGCGAGTATATTGGCTTCATACAAAGCAGTCCCCAGTTAGAGACGTTCAATATACTTGCATCTATATCAGTAAGCATATGACATGTTCAGATTGGTAGCTCTAACTTATGCTTCTTCACCAAATAGAGAACTTCAGCTTTTCTTAAATTCTGAAACGTGAACGAGTATTAGGCAGTCGGCTATGCTACGACTGCAGTGTACTTAGTGTGTTTATATATCTATTTTCGTGTGTTTCTTTTGTATGTTCTAGGTACAGAATTCTTGCTGGCTCACTAAGGTGCTTAGTTACTTATAAATGTAGCTGTATATTTTTGTTGCCTCTGCTTCTTCTTCTTCTTCTTCTTCTTGTTAATAATAATTAATTTGCAAACTCTACTTTTCTCTACAATGGCTACGCTTGTTGTGTATGTATGTATGTATGTGTGTGTGCGTGTGTTTGTCTGTTTGTGTGTGTGCACTAAGTTAAAAATTATTTATTTCTACGCTACTTCAACTATGTTTCATGTGTATGTGTGTCTATCTGTGTAAGTATTGCTTCTTTATGCACCTTTTATTTATGCAATAAAAATAAACATAATTCGAGTTGTTTTCTTTTTTTTTTTTCATTCATATTTGTTCGTTGTATAAAGTACATCAATTGGTCTCGTCAAAAGCAGCAGCACAAAATGTTGCAATAACAAATATGCCAAGAAAATAAATCATATATAAATATACATATGTCTATATATGTATATTGGTAACTAATAATTGTTAATCAATTCATTTTGCAGCTACATTCAAAAATTGCTACGAGCTTACTTCATTTAGGTATTTATTTTCTTGGTAAACTAAAAGCTAAATGTTAGTGTGTATATATATATATATTGTATATATACAGCTCTATATGCATGCTTTTGAGTATGTATATTAGTATTTCATTAATAATTTGTCGGTTTTCGCTTCACTTAATGCATTAGTTTAACGATTTCCCATTGCTTATCTCATTGATACATGCGCTAATAATACTTGTTTTCGGTTTTGCCTTAATACGTAATGCTCTATTGCTCTCATTGCTCATTGTTCATTGTTTGCTTTAGTTTATTATTGCTGTTGCTCTTCGTTGTTGCTGTTGTTGTTGTTGCTCTCTTTCTTGTTTACCATATACAATATTTTTGTAAATAAGTTGTTTTCTTTAATCATATATCGAAGTATTAAGTCTTTTATTTGGTTTGTTTGTTGTTTTTTTTTATTCGTTTTTTTGGTGTTTTTATTTTTGTCATTTTATATATTTTTTCATTTTCTTTTGAAAACTATTTGTGTTAACGTGCTAAGTCTTTCTTTTTTTTGTTTAAACATTGCTTTGTTGTTGTTGTTGTTCATAATTTAATTTATACAAAGTTTTTACTACGTTGTTAGCTTTAAAAAAGATTAAATACTAATAATAATAATAATTTTCTATATACAAAAGCCAGCAAATTAAAATTTTGTAAAAAATTTCAACCAACAGAAAGAATCGAGGAGGGGTCTGTGCTTTAAGAGTTCTATTTTTCCATTGTTACTTTTTATGAGTTTTTTCTTCATTTGGCGCTGACCTAACGAGCGCTCGTTAAAAAAGAACAACAATGTTAGAGAAAGATATTTAGAAAGAGACAGACAGAGAGAGAGACAGTAGTAGAGTAAAGCAACAGATAATGGAAAGGAATGAATCATGAATGCTAATGCTAATGCTAACCAAAATACTGCATTCAACAATTTTTTTTGCTTTTCAAAATTTTTAAAGTTGCGCTGGTATACAAAAACTATTTTCATATATATATAAATGTAATCAACTTTAACAATTTTTTGTTATTTTTTTTTCGCTTTTTTCTCATTTAACAATATATGCCTTGATCCTTATTTGTAAAAGAAAACCTATAACATGTGCGTGTGTATGTGTGTGTGTGTGGTTCAAAATCGATTAAACCCAAAATTGAAAACCATAAGAACGGGCACAATTTTTGAAAACAAAAATGTAACCGCCGATTTTGTTGGAGTAAAGCTTTTCCAAATATCATATATATACATATGATATATATCTCATCTATATAGTTGTATATATATGTATATGTATGTATATATGCTAATGTACTACGTGTTGCATTTGGTTATATTAAAAATTTCAAAATTTGAAAATTTCAAAATATGCATTAGGGTTATTCCCCCGATCAATTTATATGTATATATAATATATTTTTACAACTACCTTTTATTGCTTCTCGATACACGTTATGTAGTATTTTGTTGTTGTTGTTTTTGTTTTGTTTTTCTCTTCCTGGAGCTCATATATTTGTTGAGCAAAATTAATCAGCTTTTTGAATCAATGTGTGTGTGTGTGTGTGTGTGTGTGTTTGTGTGTGTGTGGGAATATCACAACATTCGAATTGCTTTGCCTATTGACCTGCTCTCAACACAAATAATTGCCACAGGGTATCTATATATATTTAAGAACACTTTTTCAGCTTGAGTTAAGCAAAGAGTCCAGTTGGAAAATCATAAAAGGAAATATATCAAAGAAAATTAAAATAAAAAACCATTTTTGTTTTGTTTTTTGTTGTATTGTGTAAGTATTTATGTATACATATATATATATATGTATATGTATTGTATATTTAAAACATTATAATTGTTTTTGTTTTGTTTAAATACAAGTGTGCTGTGTTTGCTAATTTTAAATAGTTTCAACCTTAGATTTACTTAAATTCTAATAAATTGATTAACCATTATTTTTATTGCTTTCATTCACATAATTAATTATGCATTTAAGTTGTTGTTTTTTGTTTTTCTTTTTTGTTGCTGCTGTTTACATTGTTATACAAAATTGTAATATTATTGCCGGGCTTTAATTAAACATGTTTCGCCTTTTGTAAATCTTAATTTAACTTTAAGCGTACGAATAAAATTAAAAACAAAAAATAATCAATAAATAAAACAAATACCAAATATTCAAATATAAACAACACTGGCCAGCAAGGTGTTCAGTAAGTGCTGAATAGGAATCTTGGATGGAATGTAGAAGTCTCGGGAACAATAAATATACATATTTTAAAAATTGTATTTTTTTCGTTGCATATATTTAAGCAGGAATATTATAAATCCTATAGTTGTTTATTTTCAAGCTGTTTAAAGTAAAAATCTGCAAGATTCCATTTCAAGCTCATGAGAAACCATTTCTTGCTTCTTGGCTACTGTTTTTTGTTGGCCAGTGTAATCTTTGGTAACTATGGCTTTTAAGTAGCTTCTCGCTATTTGTCTAACTTTGATGCACTTTGCACTTTGCCTTTTAGTTATAATTGAATATTTGTTGTTCGCCTTTTTTGTTATTCTTTGATTTTGTTGTTGTTGAGTATTGCTTTGGTACTTTAGCCGATTTCGATATCGATGCCGTTATCGTTATCGATTATTGCATAAAAGTTTTCCGCATGGGAGCATGGGGAAACTCTTCTTAGCGCCTACGTTGTTAACAGTATAAAAATAATTTTGTGATGATTATACTTACTAGGTTAACTTAGGCGTACATGTATACTAGGTCTAAAATATTTATGTATATATTTTATGCATGTGTATATATAATTGTAAATATTACGCAACTACATACGTATGTTCTAATGTTTGTATATAACTATATATATGTATGTATATATAGATTCCTTTTCGCTCGCTTAGACATACCAACAACTGGGTTTTGTTTTTGTTTTGGTTTCAATTTGGTTTTTGACTGAGTTTCGATCAAAACTTTTTGCTACTCTTTAGACTAAGTACTCTACGACAAAGTTCGTTGCACTTTTGTTGTTGTTGTTTTTTTGAGATCGGTCGCTGAAGCTGATTTCAGTTGAGTGATATATTATAGATGTCTATATGGTAGATTAGGTTTAAATACTATTTACATATGTTTGCTTTTGTGCTGGGGTGTAATTGCGTATAAATGAACATATGAGCTACATAATATAAATATAGGTTTAAGTAATATCGTACTAGGTAAGTTGCTTTTCGAAGAGTGCAAAAGTATTTTCTTTGTTTGTTGTTTTTCTTTACGCATGGACGAAGTGTACTGTTAAATGCTTGAGACTAGATCACACTCGATATTCATATAGATTTTCTTCATCTGGCTTTTTGTTGTTCTTGTTTTTGTTTTCTCTCGTTCGGTGAAGGGCGATCGAATACGGATTTGAGTAACTATATGGGTATATAGGCTACAGCAAATCATGTTTGGTCTTATCGTTTTTTGTTTTGGTCACTAATAGAAACACTGGAACTTTCTTAGGGCGCCCTTTAGTGTGGTGTATGATACTAACAGGATCTTATGGAACAGATTCGGAGCTATACACAAAATATCAAATATTTTGCTCTCTCATAGAACATAAAGTTCCCAACTAGCAGAAAAACCCGTTTCATTTTCATCAATCTTCAGCTTTTTTGTTTCTTCTCTGTCATTGATGATAAAACTCCCTTTACGATCATATCATAATTCTCTTTTGGCGATTTCAGTGTATTGTCATTTGGACCACAACAGAATGCAATGCTCTAAAACTAAACACTGGTATTTAAGCGGAAATGTATTGAAACTTTGCCTTCGTAAAAAATTAGAAAAAATTTGCTGTTAGACAGAGACTAGAAATTTTCTTGTTCTATCATTTTATATTCCTTTTATAAATATATACATATATAATTAATATTATTTGGTTTTGAATTGCCTGGAATGCTAATTGACTATATGGCTAAACGCAAATTAGTTGCCCAAATCTCATTGTAATTTTTGTTAGTTAACCCCTCTGATTCTTCTATTCTTCTTCTATTTCCCATGTAACTCTAGCCTTTAAAATCATAAGAAAACTCAAACAAAATCAGAAATTTTCTTATGTGCCAATAATATGCAGATGTTTTATAATATACGATATATCGTAATATTGCTTTGCGTTCTCATTTTGATTAAACTTGTTTTTGAATTAAAATGCTTCTTTTACGTGCTTAAATGTTGCTATGTGACTTAGTTATATAAAATGATGTGAAAAATGTGGAGCTGAATTTTGTATTAGTTATAGTTTTAGTATTTTTTTTTTCGTTTTGTTTTTGTTTATCGTCTACTCTCTGGCGCTACTATATACTGCTTATAGATAGACTGCCCTTAGGATCTAATTCGTTGTTTGAGAAACATTGCATTTGCTTTTCGTATTCGTTGCATTAAATTTGTTTTAATCACTTCGTCTTCGATTAAAGATTAAAGAGAATTTTCTTGGTATTTTTGGTTAGGATATAGAGTTTTAGAGTGTAGAGTTTTAGATTTTAGAGTTTAGAGTTTAGGGAGTAGAGCTAAAGACTATAAGTTTTTTGATAGCTACAGGTTATAGTACACCATTTGTATATATGTATGTGTATGTATGTATGTGTGTAGTTTTGTTTAGATAGTAATAGAGAGAGATACATATATATATATACATATGTATATATAGATATAGAATTGCTCAAGTTCTCAGGTTTTAAGTTTTTGCAATTACTGCAAAAGGCTTTCTGTGTGTGTATGGGTATCAGAAGTTCAGCTTCTTCTCCTTAAGTATTCTATTTTTATTCAATTTGTTTTTTTTTGGGTTCTAGGAATGTTTGTTTTTGTTTTTTGTTCAACTCGCTTAAGACTAAAAGAAGAACGAGATTAGGTTTACGCTAAGTGTATTTAGCTATCATTTTTCTTTCATTTTGTTTTTGTTTTTTTTTTGTTTTTTAATGGTTTTCTAATGCGAATTTCTACAGTCTCTGTGTTACTCTACTACACTTGCTTTTGGACGTATTGTGATCGTATTCTTTATATATATATAGTTGTATATATAAAAACTGCTATCGATAACTGACTTTCAACATTAACGATCAATTAACAAGGGCATTGCTTTTACTTTGTTTTTGTTTTGTTTTTGTTTTTGTTTTGTTGTTTTTGTGTTCTTTTGTTTTTCTGTTTTTTGGCAATGGCACACTTACTCAACATTTAGATGGCATAGGTGATGCCAACACCTGACACTCCGACAGGTGCCTCCACCTTGACCCGTTCGAGGAATTCGTGCGGAGGCGAGGCCAAGCTGGCGCCACTCTCGCTGTTGCTATCGGTATGGCCATGCAACGACATGGCCATCATGAGCTCCTCCTCGTCCTTGAGGCAGGCCGATTCCAGATGCTTGTTTAGGTACGATTTCAATGCGAATGTCTTGTGGCAGCGCTTGCACTCGAAATTCTTGTCCACCGAATGCGTCTGCATGTGAGCTCGCAGATTGGAGCGATCGGCAAAGGCTTTGCCGCAATGCGCACAACCGTAGGGCTTCTCGCCTGTGTGGGAGCGCAGGTGGCCCTGCAGCAGCCACGGCCGTGAGAAGAGTTTGCCGCAAACGCCGCAGCTGTGGGAGAGCTTGTGCGTGAGCACGTGCATGGCCAGGGCGGGCATCGAGACGTACGCCTTGCCGCAGGTGTGACACTTCTTGGCCGACTGCGAGTCGAGGGAGCGATGCGTCTGCTTGTGGCGCGACAGATTGCTGGAGGTGGCGTACTGCTTGCCACACTCGGAGCAGGTGTACTTGGTTTTCTGCTGATCCTGGACAACGACGGCGGCTGGATCGGCCACATGCTTGCGCTTGGACCGTCCGTCGCTCACAAAGAAGGCCTCGTAGGTGTAGGCAACGGTTTTCGCTGCCTGCCCGGTCGCATCGCCATCGGCGTCTGTGTCTGGCTCGGCATGGCAGTCCAGCGAGAGACCCAAGCCCAAGCCCAGGCCCAGGCCATGGCCGCTGTGCAGCTGATTGGTTGTGTTGCTGTTCTCGTTCTGCACATTGCTGCTGCTGCTGTGATTGCTGCTGTTGCTGCTGTGTATGCTGCTGCTGGCACTGGAAGCATTGCTCAAGGGTCGCTGTTCATTCACCACGCTGGCTGCGGCAGCTAGCTCCGCAATCGTTGATGTGGTGCGCAAGTGTTGCTGCTGCAGCGGCAGTGATAGCGGCAACAGTTGCTGCTGTGGCTCATGCTGCAGTTGCAGCTGCTGTGGCTCATGTTGCTGCTGTTGCTGCGGCTGCTGCGGCTGCTGCTGCAGCTGATGTGGCTGCGTGGGCGGATGAAAGGCTGTCGAGGCACTCAGATCGAGTATGGCGTGAGCTGCATGCAAATCCTCCTCGGCCGGCACACGCCGGCGATAGCCATGCGTGGGCTTGTCGTCCAGCGAGTAGGGCCTGTAGATGTCCTTCTTCTTTGGCGGCAGCGACAGTGTGGCACCTGTGCTGCTAAAGCACTTGCGCTCGCTGCTCGTCTGACCAGATTCCATCTTAATGTGCAGCATGCCCGGACTGAATCTATCGCCATTTGGCGAGCACGAAGGCGACGATGTGGTTGACGACGGCGGTGTTTGATAGGCAGCCAAATGTTGCTGCTGTTGCTGTTGTTGCTGTTGCTCACCTGTGTTGTTGCTGCTGCTGTTGGCTGCTGCTGCCACCAGCGCTGTCGCTGCTGCCCGTATGACCGTTATTTCGCTCTCCATGCGAGGCAGGTACGCGGTGTAATGCAGCGGCGACAGCTCACGTGTGTAGCCTGCAAAGGGAGCGAGAAAAGAGGCCGAGATAAGGTGAGAACTGAGTTGGATGAAATATGTTGATGCTGATGTTAAATAATTGTTGCATACGCTCAGGGCATGGAGGTGGCATGGAAATTCGTATATGCTATGGTAGAAAAGGGAGGAAGGGTAGTAAATCTAACGTGTTGCAGCTGGCAAGCAAATGTTGCATATTTAAAGGGACGTTGGACGTGGCCAAGAGGAAGTTTTATGGAATTATTTAGACAACTTTCAATAACAAGGTATGAAGCTCAGGAAAGATTTAAAGGAAACTTAGAATATATATGAGATATTTGTAATAACTCAGAAGAGTTTTAGTTAGAAGATAGATGTTAAAAGATTAAAGGTGAAAGAATGTAAGTAAAGAATGCAATTTGGTTATAGAATAATCTCAGAAAGAGAGAGCGTGAACTTGTTTAATTAATGAATTAAGTTAAAGGCTCTTAAGGTCATGTAAGATCAGGTTGATAATATTTTAAATTTTTATTTTAAAAATCTCCGAAAATTTTATATGAATTATTTTGACCTGAGTTTATTTACTAGGTACTCTTAACACATTTGCTATTTTCATTATCTATATATTCATTATATTATATTCAATATCTATGCAAAATATATTTCTCTCAACAGCTCATTAGTTTAGAGTATGAATAAAATCTAGGTAGTTCCCATTTCAATTCCAAGCAAAAATAATTTGAGTATTTTAAATATATGTGAATTGATTTATATATAATATATATATTCAATATATCAACTATACTAACAACTATTCAATTACATCTTAGATCATATTTGGGATGCCTTTCATCACTTACCATTGTAGACATTGGTTGCGCCACGTGTCGCTGCCTCCGGCGAATGGGGCGGCGGACTTGGAGCTGTGGTGCCCGCCGTTGGGGAGCTGGGGCCCCAGCACTTGGCCGTAGTTGTTGCAGTGGTTGTTGAAGTGGCTGTTGCTGTTGTGCTGTTGTTGCTGTTGTTTGTTGCTTCTGTTGCTGCTGTGGCGGTTGCTGTTGCTGTTGTGCGTTGCTTGTCGGATTTGGTCAATAGCTTGTCGCCCACAACATCGATCTCCTCATCATCGTCCATGGTGGAGCGACGCGACTTCAGATTGGGCAATGGGGATAGTTGCTCCTCCCGTGGAGCTGTTGCTGTTGGTGTGTTGTTGGCATTATCCTCGCTGTTGCGATCCAGCCAAGGATATGCCTTCCATTTCTTGGCAATTAGGCAGCGCGGCATTTTGAGTAAAGTTTAGTTGAGTTGATTGATTGATTCAAGTTGAGTTGAGTTGATTGAGTGATTGAGCGTTGTTTTTGGTGTTTTTCCTTTTAGATTTAGAGGCAAGTTTAGTGTTAAGTGCTGAAGCGAGTGTTTTCTTTCGTACGAGCAAAGACCTTCGTAGTGGGTATTTGGTTTTGGTGGCAAAAGCGGAAAGGAAAATTATTGCTGTTCCTATTTCGCATGTGAAAAATATATATATTTATATAGATTGGCTCGCCGAAATGAATAGAGTTTGTTTTTACAGTTGTCTTAAATAGGGTTTCGCATAGTTGCGCCTCCCTTTCCTTCTCTCTCTCTCTCTCTCTTTGGGTCTCCCTTTATTAAATCATATTTCAATATTTTATATTGCTTTTTATTGTTTCACATATGCAGGTCCATATATACATAAATGTTGTTGATAAATTGGTTTGCGGTTCAGTTTGGGGTCTTCGATTCGGTTTTTGGTTAGGATACTTCGAATTTCACAGCCACTTTACACATTTCTGCGCTTTTATTTCAAGCTCTTCAAACGGCAGAGAGTTTTATAGTTCTCAACTTTTTCTTTTTTGGTCAAGTTTTCGGGTTTTTGTGTGTGTTATTTCTTTTTTTGGGGGGCTTTGCGTTTGCGTTGGCTGCGTGTGGTTTATCGATTTTTACATTTGCGTTTACGTTTACGTTTTTTTTTTTTGTTTTTTTACACAACGAGGGAGAGGGGGTCTTAAAACATAACGGTTCGGTCAACTGTTAGGGGTTTACATGGGTAATTGTATTGCTCCATATATAATATACAGATATCCTTTGGCTTTTGCAGTAAGTTGTTGTTGTTGCTATTGCTTGTTGATTTATTTATGTTTTGTTAAACAATTTTCGAAGCAAAATATTATTATTGTTGCCGAACAAAATGAAATTTTGATATTTGTTTATAGTTTTTAGTTGTAGTTGTAGTTCATAGTTTTTATAAAACAGAGAAAGTATAGACGTTAAAAGTTGTTAAAGTTTAGATTAGTTGACACGAGTTGTTGTTGTTGTTGTTGTTTGTTGGTTGTTGTGAAAAGTTGAGTTGAGTTGTTGTAATTATTATTGTTGTTGGTAGAGTGAAAAAATTGATTTAGGAGAAAATATAATATTATATAAGATAGAGAAGAAATGCGAACGAACCGAACGTAAGCAACTCTTGAATGCTTATGAGAATATAACTGAACGAAACGTTGCTTATAAGGGTTGCCGAACGAAATCGAAACGAAGAGAGCGTAGCGAAACGGAACGTCCTGGCATAGCCATGGAACAGCCCCTAAACAACCCCCAAACAACAACCACAAAAAGCAAAAAACAACGTCGCTGGCGTAGCTGTTGCGTGTCTTTTAGGGCAGCTGCACACGTACCAAAGGGGAAGGCACTTCAAATATTTACATCTTAATTTATTTAATTAAAATTTGTTTAAAATTATTTAATTAGGTAAAAATAATTGAAAAACAAAAATTAATTGCAATTTTTAAATTATTTATTTATGGATCATGCTTGAACGTGTATGGGGCTCCAGCAATAAGGAAATGTGTTTCATTTTACCATTTCGTTTCACTTCGCCTTTTTCCTCCAATTGTTGCGTCGTCCCTCTCTCTCTCGCTCACGCTCCGTGGCTCTGCGGCGCTGTCTCTCTATCTCTCCGTCTTCGGCACGGCTCGTACCTGAATTGTGGAATTGGCTCATGGCTCCTTTTTTGTTATTGAACAAAAATATATTTTTGGGGGTGGATTTTTGCAACAGCGTCTCCTTTCGTATGTGGCAGTTGTGCCGAGTTAATTGCTCTTGCTGTTGCATTGCATTTGTTGCTGAACTTTGATTTTGAACAAATTGCCAAAAATGACGGGCGACCGAAGAGAGTGGCGCAGAGCAGATCGTCGCGAAGAGTGGGTGGGGGTGGGTGGTAAGGCAGTAGGAGGGTCGATAGGTTAGGTGGCAGGGGCGAGGTGTAGCAGCAACAGTCGTTGGATTGTGGCATTGTTGATTGCTAGCAGCCGTAGCAGCAGCAAATGGAAGAGGTAACGAGCGGTAAGCGGGGCAAGCCGCTGATAGTGGGTGGGGCTACACGCTGGCAATACATTAAAGCATTCCTCTTCGGGCGTTGGGCTTTTTTGGTATATCAAAGGTCAGGATATGTTTGAAAATTTACGATTTCACTCAAGCTCGAGTTCAAAGTTAAATTAAAAATATATGAGCAATGTATATATAGACATATATGTATAGACGGTTATATATAGCTTCGCTCTATGTGCGATGGAAAATATCGTTGTAAGCTTTTAATAAATATTAATGGAAAAGCCAGTCGTAATTGGGTTGTTGACTATAAAAAGTCTATGTGTATTTCTATGATTTGTCGGCATTTGTAGCGCTAAAATGCAAGGCAGACGAAACTTTTGTTTGGTCTAAAGATTTGTGACTATATTAATTGAATTTAATAAAACAAAAAAACTACAAAATTAAATTAAATTGAATTACAAAAAGTCCAAATAAAATCGCGATAAAGTAACTAACTGAGTAATGTATCATTAAAATATTGTATTAAAAATAGAAAATTATTTATAAATAATATTTATGTTATTAATACATAAATTATTATTATAAATTATAAAGATGAATTTAAGAAAATATATATATACATATATCTACATATAAGACTCTCCTGGCTCGTCGTTCTTACTCTTTCAGCACGAGACTTGGATAATTAATAAGGACGTAAAGTGCCGAAAAAAGAGAGCAGAATTAAGAGAAACTTTTATTTCCTGCTCTGCTCAACTGTCGCTGCGAATGAGCTTAGCAGGCTATGAAATATGATTTATTCAATTAACATTTTTGTATTTGATTTATTTTTTTCGGCCCCTGCGCGGAGCTGCTTAAAAGTGCTTCAACATTTTAGAACGCATTTGACTCGTTGAAAGGAAATAACATATCGCAGCTTATTTGACAGATGGAAACCCCTTTTTTTTATATGGCCTCTTGAGTATGGGACTATTAAGCATTTGTTGTTGTTTGTTGAGGAAAAAAAAGCCAAGAAATGCCAATCCATCTAGCTGTCAGACCCTAAGGACCTCTTAGCATATACAACATACCATATATTCCTTGAAATGTAACGTACAGACCATCTGTGGAATTTTCGTTGCACTAATTACAATTGGGCACCTCGATGGAAGCCCTAAATATGCCACCAAGTACCAAGTCCTCTTAGTGAAACCCATGAAGCACATTGTAAACTCCCTCTTACGCTCCCTCCCTCTCCCTCCTCTACCTCTCTAACTCTCTCTCTTTCTCTTTCTCGTCGTCCTGCTCTAAATTGTAATCTGCTTTTCCAGCTAAGAGCTGAGGCAAGCTTGTCGGCGACCCTTTGCGACGCCAAAGTTGTTGCGCTTCGCTAGCCGCTTTAGGGGGTGGCAACCGTATGGAAATTGAAAATGGCTATGAAAATATGATCGCGGATCGTTGGGCGAGGCACGCGCAGCCGCAGATGCACTGAGGCGAGCAGCGTACATACATAATGGCCATATGGCCGTCGGCTGGGCTGGGTAGGAGCCACGCGTCACGACAGGAAACCAAATTATGCAGCCGACGCAAAGCGAGATTCGTTCACCTGGAACAAGGAGCAAGAAGCAAGGAGCACAACAGCGTAGTACACAGGACAATATGGTTACAGCTTTTCCTGTTTCCAAAGCGTTATTAGCGTTAGTTTAAGGGTAAAATACACTTATACAAAAGGTGCAATCTAGGGCCCAAACATACAGACTACTAGCGGGGATCCAGTTGAGCGCGTTTGCGAGCGTGCAAAAAACAGGAAATGCTCTACAAGTGCAGCTGCCCAAAAGACTGGCCTAAAGGACACCCAACACTCCGCCTGTGGGTGGGGCGCTGCGCCTGCAGAAATTTGTCAGCTTGCCAAACGCTTTTGTTGCTGTTGCTGCTGTTGTTGCTGTTGCTTGTGCCTTTCGCGTTGCCTAGCGAAATAGAACGAGCTGCCAGACCCCCGCTCACCCCTTAACATGAGTCAACATGGCATATTGTTTTTGTGCAAATGTATGTAACAGGCAGCACAGGGCTCGGCAGACCCTATACAGTATCTATGTATATTATATATTCTTAGTCAGCATAACTGATATGAGGCGATTCAGCAATGTTTTGCATGTCTGTCTGAATATGCGTAATACGAATATCCTATAAAAGCTAGAGAGTTGACAAATAATTGAAATCTTATTGGGTTGTCTAAATCTTTATAGAACTTTAGTTATTAAGCATATCATAAATCATCTTCTGATATATACAGAATAAAAGTATTCCTCTTTCAATACTAGTTTCATCTGAGAGAAGGTAGAATTTACACAGGGTTAGTATATCCCACTCTATCACGTTTATTTCTTATTTCCCAACAATATTTTCAAATTCGAATCAATCTAAGTCTCCCATATCTCTTCAGATATGTCATTCTGGATCTAAGATCTATGTATAAGTACATATTGAACTAATCTCCAATATTGTCCAGGATAACTTCTAGTCGAGCAGTCTCGATTAGAGCGCACTCACACTCCTTTTTTGGCCACTAAAATGCCGCATTCACGTATCGAAGCGAAGTGTGACGCTCGCTTGTGGCACGGGCCACGGAAGTGGCAGCTGTAACAGGAATAGAAACAGCAACAGAAACAGAGGCAGACAGAGCAGAGAGGGAGAGAGAGAGGTGGAGAAAAAAAGGAACTGTTGATCCTGCTGCTGCTGCTGCTGCTGCTGCTGCGCCCATTGTAAAGGGTACCAGGTGTTTGGCATGCTCTTTCTGTTTTCCTTTCTATGATGTATTAAAGTGGAAACAAGCACGAGCTGTATATATCCCTCTCTCTGTCCCTCTGTCTGTCTGCCTCTCTAATTCTCTCCACTTGTCTGACTGTCTGGCAGTTTGAGTTTTTCCCAAATACTATTTGTTCCTGTTTCTGCTATAATTTCATTGTTACTCCTTTTTGAACTGCTTTGCAACCACCCCATCAGCGTTATCATCATCATCATCGTCAGCAACAGCAACGGCAACGGCAACATCATTATCATCGCCATCAGCAACAGCAGCAACAGCGGCAACAGCGGCAGCAGCAACACCACCCAGCAATCAACCCCCTCGCAGCGTTTGCCATTTGGCGTCTACATAGAAACAGCAAACAGGTAAAGCAACAACAGCAAAAATAGCAACAACAACTACAACATCAACTACAACAACAAGTACAACAACAATTGCAGCAGCAACATTTCGTGTGCCTGTTTCATTAGCAATAAAAACAAGAGAAATAAAATACTACAAAAAATATGAATGTTCCAATTGGGTGAAACCGACTAGTAGTTATCCTGATACTACTAGAAACTAGATACTAGATACTAGATACTAGATACTAGATACTAGATACTAGATACTAGATA